GGTTGGCCCCGCGTCCGCGCGCTCTCCGGCCGTTGGGAGGGAGGCAGCCGAGGTGATGGCGCCCGCGCCGCCTTAATGGCTCCTGTGCCCTGCGCTTGCTTCCCTCTCACGGTTTCCCTCTTCCCTCCCCTCAGGCCATGGCGAAGAGCCTGAGGAGCAAATGGAGGAGGAAGATGCGGGCGGAGAAGAGGAAGAAGAACGCGCCCAAGGAGCTGGAGAGGCTGAAAAAAATCCTGGGAAGCAACGCGGACGTCGTCATGGAGGAGGTCAAGGAGGTGGCGACCGTGGTGGCCCCCAAGAAAGTCCTCGAGGCGGCGGGTGAGTGGGGCGGCGGCGCTGGAGTCACGGGGAGGGGACGGCCCGGCCCCGCCGGGCCACACCGGAGCAGGCCCCCAGGATGGCTGTCAAGCGGTCCCGGGTTGCCGAAGACCTGCCTTTTGAGTGCCCGGCTACCTTTGCTTCCCCCCCCCCTTCCCCGCCTCCTTCCCCGCCTCCTCCGGTCACGTTTCTAGCGTGTTTCTCACCATACCAGTTCTTCTCTTGCAACCACCCACGTGCAGGGAGGTCCCGTGGTATCTTTATTATTGTTCCTGTGACTTTCACTATCGTGATCAGACTTAATGGTTATTACAGGTTGAGAAAAGTGAGTTGGAAAAACAATTTTTTTTTTATCTTTTAAAGCCAAAAGATGCTATTAAATCATTTAATCTGGTCATTTTGCAACATCACCTTCTATATTGTATCCGGTTGCTTGTGGAACAAGCTTATTAACGTTTCATTTCAAGTATGTAGCATCTTATGGAGAGATACCTCTTTGTGAAGATATCGGGTGAGTGAGGATTCATCACTTAGCAGTTGCTCCAATCACAGTATTATATTTGCCGTTAAACTGGAGATAGGATATAATTTCCCTCGTAGTTTAAGGAGGACACTGAGCAGACAAAAGTTGGGCCTAAATCTAAAGTAATTTTATAGAGATTTTATCAAGAGTAGAGCGATTTTATTTTTTTTTTCACTTCCAAGTGTCCTGTCTGGGTAGTTAGTGTACTGTAGGGGTAGTAGGGACCCTGTTTTTGCATGCTAATTAACATTGCATTGCATATGGTGCAGGAGTGGGTAGTATTAGGTGTTGGCAGCTAATGCCACCTTCCAATCTATTCCTTGAACAGGATGTAATCTGTAAAAGTAGTTACCCAGGAAGTGGAAACAAGGGTTTGAAATAGCTATGTACTGGACAAGAGTCAGAAAGACACCTTCTCTTTCCAAAACTGCAGTCCAAACTAAATAATAATCCTTTTTGTTTCTCCAATTTATGCCACTTAAGCTATGATATTGCTGATGATGTCTTTTTATGTGGCATGCAGAAGTCTCTTGAAACACCACAGTGGGGATATAGAATAATGCTAGTTATCACTGAAAGTCACGCAGCCAGTTTTGTCGGTGTTTCAGAAATTAGCAAAGACAGGGAAGTGTTGTGAGGTTGAATAGCAGAGCTTGTAAACTTTATTGAAAATAGAAATAGAATGCGATATAAAAATACTTTCCTAGTTAAGGGTACCTTGGAATATAATTTGTAATTTTATCTGTGGTTCTGATTTGTCCCATAAACCAGATGCAAAAGTTGTTCTTTGTGGGATTGTTAGAATTGAATTTCCAAAATGTTTTAGAACACTGTCAGCCTTCTGATACTGAAGCTGGATGAAGTGTTGTTGTGTTAAACCTTGTTTCTGAAGCAAATGTCTGGGTATCTGTCATTGCTGCACCCCTTTCCAGGTCTGCTGGCAACTTCTCTACAAGTGGCCAATTTCACTTGGCCTTTGCAGAGAGATAGCAGCCTCAGAAATACCTAAGAATATATACATTTCACAGAACAACTACAAGTTCTTTGAAAATAATGGTGTCTTCTTTGGGAGGACTTTTCAGCACTAACTGTGGACACAAGGGAATTCACACCACCAGATGTTATAAGGACTGAAGCAGATAAAAGCTTCATCCAGATTATGCACTTTCCATAGATAGGTGAATAGTTTCCAGCCTAAGAAAGTATGTAGGTGTATATTAGGGACATTTTCGTGTGTTACTTTAAAGTACTTTTCACAGCACACTGTGATTTTTTTTTTTTTTTTTTTTTTTTTAGGAAAAAAAGATAATTGAAGGTCTGCTTTGATAACCTACTTTTGTAGCTTTTTTTCTTGGTCCTTTTCTCTTTGTCTTTTAACCCCTTTGATAGGTTTTCTTTGTGTCCTTGGACCACTTCTGTTCAGTAGCTTTCTTCCTGTTACTGATTCCTACAGCATCCTTGAGATTGCAGAGTATGATGAAAAGATTGTGCTGTGTGAACAACTGGTATTTTTTGTCCAGAAGTATTTCTTCATTTAGTTAATGTTGCAGCTGGCATTTATTGTAGGTGTGCTTTTTTGCAGTCAAAATTGGTGTAACTGATTAACCTCAAATCATATGATAGGACAGGAATCAGAGAAGACGTTTATGTGTGTAGGGTTGGTTTTCTTGGGGTGTTGTGGTTTTTTTTGTGTTGTGTTGTTGGAGACCATCTCTCCTATGACATTTGGGAAATGAAGCTGTTAAGAAGGCTTCATGTTGTGCTTCTCTGATGTCTCAGTAGGTTTCTGGAGCTGGCACTCTTTTGCTGCCTGTCCCATGCAGGATCAGCCTTTGGTTGTGCCAGCAGGCAGTAGACCGCTGTGTAGATCCTCTGCTAACTGCAAGTATTCGTGTCCCAACTTTAGGGGCACATCTCTGTGTTGCAGATCCCCGTAGACACTCAGCATGCTTCAACTATTGAAGCAGCACGTTGGTCTTTTCCTCGTGAACTTTGTCTCCCAACATCAGACAGGCACACCATAAAAAAGTCTTTTTTCCTCTCTGTAAAAACTTGTGATAAAGCTTTTGGAGTTGCACATGGATGGTTTGGAAACAAGGTTGAAACTACATATTAGAGCACAATTCAAACCTGTACTTAACAAGGTGTTCCTCTTGTAGCCTTTGTTGTCTCACTGAGACATGACGATCATGTGGTGTTAGCTGGCTGGGAACACCATTCTTGAGAGTGACCATGTCACAAGCAGTCTTCCTGATCCCAGAGATTAATCCTCTATTTCTGTCCCTAAACATATTAGACTTTGCCTTGTGCTCTCTTCTTGAGGCAAATCACTGACTCGTGCTTCGTACTGTCATTGTATTTCAGCTTTTCTCTTTATTCTTCTCTTTATCTTCAGCTCAAATTAATTTAATTTTTTAGAAATTACATCATAAAAAGTATTTAATTGTGCATGTGTTTCAGTAAGCCTACGCTCAAATTAATTTAATTTTTTAGAACAGATCTTAAACATTACATCATAAAAAGTATGTAATTGTGCATGTGTTTCAGTAAGCCTATAGCTTCCTGTATGGTTGCAGCTTTTGATGGAGACCACACACAATGTTTTTAGACACAGTATTGGAACAGATGGCAGAGTAAAGAATAAGGTGCTCTGCCCAGACATGGGCCTTTAGGGAAAATTCTGCATATTTACTGTCAGCTGTTGAATTTCCTGTGTTGCAGTTGTATTGGTTTGGAAAGGGCTTTCAGTGTATAAAGCCTGCAGCTCTCTACGTACAAATACTGTTGTGCGTAGGAATATTTTTATCATTTTGGAGAATCTAGTAACAAAATAGCTTCTATGAGACTGATTTGTGTATTTTACTCACTATAAATACCTTTCTTTTTCAGATGACTGCAAAATGGACATAGATAATAAACGAAACAAAAAAACTCTTCTTGACCAGCATGGACAGTACCCAATATGGATGAATTCCAGGCAGAGAAAGAAGCTTAAGGCACAGCGTGTTAAAGGGAAAAAAAAGTCAAAATTGGCCAAAGGCCTAGTCTGGTAAAATCAGAGTTTTGTAAGATCATGAATATTTTACCCGCAAAATAAATATCCCAAATAAGTACATGATATTTTTGTGTATCGCCGTTGAGTGTAATTTATTGTGTTGCAGGAATTTTTGAAGAGACTGTTAGGCCAGCAAATGATGAAAGCAGTATCAGCTTGGTGTCTGCTGAACTTAAAAAAAAAAAATACAAAAAGCAAGCCGAGTGCCTTTGAATAGACTAAGTGTCGCTGGTTATCTGTTTTCTTGAGGGGGGAGGGTCTTCATCTTTTACATTGTGAATGCTGAAAATGCTAAAGGAAATCCTAAAAATAATGAAACTGTAAATGGTTTTTGTGTGCTATGGTCTTCGTCAATGTAACCGGTCTTTTAGTAAATTCAACCAAAGGAATCTGTAAAGTCACCATATCCCTTAAATTCTTCTGTAAAATTACTGTTGTTGCACTGATTTGTGTTGCTTTTAACATCTGGTAATTAACGAAAACAGGCCTTTAACATGTAATTTGAAAGAGATTATACACTGAAATCATCACCAAGGCTTCATGAAACTTCTGTAAGTAAAAAGACAAAGTATCAGTCTGACTTTAGTTCGCAAAGAGAAAGCTGTTGGAACAAACAAGTATTTCACTGCTGTCTGGAACTGAAATATTGTAGGAACTAAATAACTGAAAGTAAAACTGATTCTTTTATTATTGATACGAGAGCATGCAACTGCACAGATTGGAAATAAAATAGTTTTATTTAAGACCTTTTCCGAGTTTTAGTAAGTAAATGAGAATTTACTTTTCCATATGTAGCTTCAGTAGCCTTTTATTCCTCTTAAAATGGTACTCGTCGATCATGCTTTACAATGTGGGCATAGGATAAAATACTGCATGATTGCGTAACAGATGCCATTTATATGTGATTAGCTACAGTTGGTTGCATATTACTCGGCAATAACATGTGATGACAGATGCAAGAATTAGTTGCCCTGAAAGCTTGTGTTTTTAAAATGTTTCTCATTTCAAGGATGGAAATAATTACAGTACCAGTCCTGCAGTATGTTGCCTGTTGAAGGACCGTTCATTGATACAGAGCATAACCTTTGTCCAGCTTCATCCAAGATGGGATCCACATTCTGTAATTGCCCACAAATTGATACGTGTCTGTTGTGATAACCTGGGCATAGGAAATGGGATTTATTCTTTTAGAAGTAATTCCACTAGCTTATGCTGTGCAAAAATCAACTAAGAAGAACTTCACCTGGTAGAAAATTCAGTTTTTCTGGAAAAATACAGTGGGTTGTTTATTATTATTATTAAGGGAAAAGTATTCTGTTGCTCAGGTGAAGAACTACGAAGCTGTTGGAGGAAATACCAGTGCATGTTCTGTTTTCACGTACATTGACAGTTAATGAGACTTGGTGAGACATACAGATCAAAGTTTACCAAATTATATGCCATTACTAAGTTTGTACTTCAAAAATATTTCCATTAGGTTGATAATACCCTAGCTAAAAAACATGCTGCTCTCAATTATTTTTTTTTGTTTTATTAGATAAATGGGTCTAGATGTCAGTATCAAATGTTAGCATTTAGATTAGTGCTACTTCAAAATTGATTAATATGGAGGAAATTGTTCTTTAGGTCTCATAATTATGTTTATCCAGAAATGGAATGGAATGAACAGTCAGTTTGTATTTCTTTACTATTTTAATGATGTGGGCTGTATTTTGCCTAACGTGTGTTTTGGGGAGTTGTAGAGGGGAGCTTCTTGGGTTTAAGTGCTAACAATTTGGTGTTTTTCTGAAGAGTAACCACAGCACTATTTTTGATGTGCTTGTTTGTAAACCAGGTTCCTTTCAAGCAGGCTGCTTTTCCTGAGAGGAGATAATCAAACTGGCAAAGTACTCCCGGGTAATTGTACAGCTTCAGAGTCAGTTTATTTTTGTTCTTTAGGTGCGCAGCCGTACTCCGTGTCTCATCTTAATCAGGGCTGCCACCACTGTGCTTGCCTTGCCCTCTCCTCTCTCTGGAGTTCTTCCAGTTCTGCCTCTGCTCCTGCCTCCATAAGAGAAAATGATCTGTGCAACTGAATACTTTCTTATTTCTGCTTTTATCACCGAGCCCTGAGCTTTGTTGCACAAATTTGTTAGTCTGCTGCTTTTGTGACCAGATCAGGGATTTGAATCTCAAATGAAAGACAGCAGACACTGCGCTGATCTTTTATTTAGCAGTTGCTTCCCTACCAGCTGAAACAATATTGGCTGCATGAGGTATTTCCTTCATGGTGTCCAGGATAAAGTCAAACAGGTTCATTTAAACTACAGATATTTTAAGACATCCTGTTTGATTTTTGAGCTGAAACAGGGAATAAGAAAGGAGTAAAGCCCAGCCTTTACTGGAAGGCAGCTCTTAGTCTAGTACCAAATTACTTCTGTGTACAACATCACAGGTCACCTGTGTGAGGCAGAGCTCGCCCTGGGCCAGGAAGGATTTTAGGAACCTGGTTGGGTGGGATTGGTAGTCCAGGCTGAAGGCTTGCTTGTGGACAGACAGCAGGAACCTGCCCAAACGTGCTAAGATTTCAGCATATCCTATATATGGATATTGTAATTTTGTATTGGAATTTGCTTTAGATCTGCTTTGAGCAGCTATTTTTGAACGTGAATACCACCTTTTAGTCATCATTGAATATTCAGTTTACATAGGTGAATCTATTTGATCAGTTGGTGAAAAGAAAATCATTCTTGTTTCTGTACAATAGAAGGTGAATATAAACATACTAGGTTTTGGCTGAAATGCGTATTTTTAAAGCCCATAGAGGGATTTCCCAAGAAGTAAGCTATCTGCCTCTAAACAATATTCGGATTATCTCATAATTTGTTGGTCTTTATCTAATTTTTTTTTTAAGTTGTGGCTGGGGGAGAAAAGTTTGCAGTTGATTAAACAAACTGATGGAAGTCTGAAATTGTAGAACTGAAATGCCATCAGCAGAGGTGGGTTTTTTTTGAGTGTGTGATTACACTATTATGAAACTGCTTTGTTGAAACTTCTACCACTCTGCTGCCTACCTGCAAAGTGCTGTGGTAGCTGTATTTCACGGACCTACGTACGGGGGGGGAATAGCACAGGCAGTTTTGAACAACAAGCATAAATGCTAGAACCGAAAGAATTAAATATTGTAATTTTATTGGAATGGTTATGCGTATAAAGTATGTGTGTCTATACAGTATAAAATCTGCATTAGCAAATTGCTAAATGTCCTGCAGATTGTTGGCAGCTTCCTGAGAAGATGACAGCGTCTGCCCTTTTTGACGCAGCATGCAGGACTTGGTTTTAAAGTGAGTTATTTCAGATGCCTAAAATAACCAGTGGTGGTGCAGTTCCTGAGCTTTTCTGGTAACTCATTCCTACTCTGGACCACCTTTTCTGCATTGTATTGTCAAGTGGGTTGGGGAACAAATCTAGCTGAGATATACTGAAAATATGCCTTTTTTTTCTTCGCATTTTTTTTTCCAGCTGGATCAGTTTCCAGCCTTACTCTACAAAAAGTGTTGTCAGTAGGAGGCAACACAAGACTGGGAACAATGAGCTGGTGATGGCAGGGCTGTGTGAGGCAGTCCTCTGGCTTACGCACCACGTGCTGAGCTCTGCTCTCATGTGCCACCTTCCCTCCTGTGGCACTGACGGCTCTTTTTCTTCATGTAGCCACCTTGCAGCACAGCGTTTTGAAGGCGGGGAGAGGTTCTGGAGATTAGGTCAAGCAAATGCATTGAATAGTGGTTTTGAAAGTTTTTTATTCAATGGAGGGCATAGTATTAGAATCATTGAGGCCAATGTTCTTTTTTGCAGTCCCCGTTAAGTTTTGCTGTTACACTCAGCCAATGGAGGCTCCACTGGCACATGTAGTCAGCTGTGAGATTTTACAGATTCTTTCAGTTTGCTCTGTCTTTGGCTTTATCTGCAGCTGATGCTGTGGTTATAGAGCAGACTAAATCTGATTTGGGGATGTCTAGTAGTGGAGGAAGAATGTCATGGCCACATGATGTAAAGTGCTCCTCTGATGTATGGTCACAACTTTTTTTTTTTTTCTTTTTAAACAAAAGTAGCTCTTCTCTATACAAAGGCTTTATACTGTATTTCTGTTTCTAGTATGCTACCTTTTCCTCCTGCAGCCTAAAGAGTCGCTTAGGTTCTTCTGATCTGTATCAGATTGGTATTGTGAATTTGTCTGGTATTAAAGATTGTAGGACTACAGCCTTAGCACTGCAGAAACCTGAGAAGTGCAAAGCAATCTGTTCCTCTGAGTGGCAATGGTCTTAATTGAGTTACGGCAGTCGTGGGGTTGATGAGAGCCTGAAACAATTTCTATGAATTGCTCTCTTCAGGCCAGGGTTTTGCCATCAATTTTAACTTATCTGAGGGTGAGGTTTCAGGGGGGGACTGAGCCATCTGATAGCTCACTGCTGCAGGAAGAGGCTCTTCTTTTCAACTTTTTCCCCTCCTTTCTCCAGCTGCGCTGCCCAATTAATGATTTACTGCTTCTGGAGAAACAAGACATTGGGATTTTTTTTTTTTTCTGAGCTAAAAATGAGAGAGAACTGATGACTTTCTTCCATTTAAGACAAGCCCCCCATGTCCACTGTCCTTTTACTCTTCCTATACTATCCAGGGTTCTCATTTCAACTTTCCTGTATCAATAGCAACAATATTTGAAGGAAAAGAGAAGGCACAATGGGAAGAGGATGATTTTTGCACTCCCCCCTCCCTCTCCCTCTTCCCAATCATGTAGCATTAATCATTAATCATTCTTGCAGGCTTTTAATTTTTCTGATGCACATATATCGATATAAAAGGTCTGAAATGTTAGGAACAGTATGTCGCATGGCAGCAGAAGGTTGTGTGTCAGGGCTTCTACACAAGGTGGCATGAGCCCTTCATAAAATGCTTTATGAAGGGCTTGTATACGGAGAACAAAGAATCAGTGACTTGTTTTCCTCCAATTTCAGTCTAGTCAACTATTCCGGAGACTATGAAGGTTATGAACTATATTCTGGTTTGGTAAACTGTTATTTAGCTTATTTT